GAACAAGTGGGTGAAGGCTCACCGACAATAAGTTCTTCTTCTTCCTCCTCATTGGCCTCTTGGCCATTCCACCATGCTTCCCATTGCTCAGCGGTGTACTCGGGCTCGGCGGGAGACCAAAGTCACGGTCAGCTTCTTGAAGTCCAAGCTTGTCTTCATGAAGGCGAATCAATGCCTCCACAATTGCACCAGGCCTCCCGAACGAGGAAGTTGTTGATGGACTCCCCGGTGCGACGAGCAAGGCTGAAATACTGTGAACAAATCGCAGCACAGTTGGGAAGAGCTTGGCGAACTAAGGGGCTCGTATAGCTGGAGGGTGTGGCATCGAGGGTGAATGCCCACCCTTGGTATTGATGGGGTGCAAGTGGTGTCAGGTCCCTCCAGGCTCCGTGTCCATGGTACGCATGTTGGATTTGCTTGTGTTCTTGTGGCTCCAAAGTTATCCAACCAGCCGTCCATAGAGGGGTTTCGTCGTCAGTCAGAATGCGCTCCGCCCATTCAGTGGGCATAGGCTTGTGTTGCTGGGTCTGGTGCCACTTGCACATCCATAGTATGTGCTTTGTTGTTGCCGGAACTTTGCAAATGGGGCAAAGTTTGGGTTTGCCAGCTTCTTTGAAGTGGATCGCTCCCTGGGTCCAGGTGCGTAGGTGCGGCTTGTGTTCCCCAGGGATGGTGCGAATCACCTGTTTGTAGGTGTGCCAGTCTAGGCGCTGAGCCGTCGCTTCATGAATCAGTGCTCGCTCTAGCTTCCACCATGAATCTTGAATGCTGATCTCGGTCTCAACTAGAAACCTGCCTGCAGGTCGATGCCATCGGTGGAGCTGATTGACTTGCCATTGCCACTCCATCAGGTAGGCTATGGCTGCGGCCATGGGTCCTCGAACTGCTGGAGCTGGTCATGTACCTCAACCCAGGCTTGCTCGAGGTGGTGGATTTGTTCGGGCCGCCACGTGTGGTAAAGCTGATGCAGTGCTTTGATGTGATGCAAAATGACTTGATCGCCAGGGTCAATGTATTTGTTGCTGTGCAAGTCATAAGTGCTGTCAAGCAAGCCGCCTGCATGATGTCCAAGGTGGGTAGCAAGTGCTTGTCTGAGGGCCGTGCGGTATCGTGGGGCCAGTCCTTGAGCTTCAATGCCCCAGAGTGCTACCGGTTGGACGCCTCCTTTGTGTAGGCGGAGCCTGACTTTCAAAGCCGGGATCTTCAATTTCTAAGCTTCAATTTCCGCTGCCTTGCCTTCTGAAACCTTTGACGTAGAACCGGGATCCTGCGTCTTCTGGCAGCTTGATGGTCGATGCCAAGATCTCGCACCACCGTTGAGACCGGTGGTTCATGTTCTTGTAATAGACCTTTGAGAGCCTGCTCAGTCTGCTTGTCTGTAGCTATGAAGGCTGTTTTCTTGGGGTTGACTTTCAGCCCAAGGCCCGTGAGGCGTTGGTGGAGCTCTCGATAGGCCTTAACTGCTTGCTGAGCCACTTGCAAAGCTGTGGTGCCTGTGAGGTCGAAGCCAACATCATCAACCCAACTTGACAGATTGGCCTGTGGGCGCTGTTCTTTCCAAGACAGCTTTGGCCAGTAGTGGTGCTTGTGGACATCCTGCCGGGACTCCGTGGTCTACGTGAAAGAAAGGTGTCAGCTCTTGCTCGGCCAAGATGGCTTTGGGCCCAGTGTACAGCTGCATGGCCAACTCCAGCACGAGCGGAGGGTATTGGAGTTTGAGTGCTTCCTCCTGGAGTCTGGTGAGGTTGATGGTGTCATAGAAGGTTGACATATCCATTAACACTGTAATGCCATGTTGCTTTCTCGCCTTGGTGACTTCCTGTCGAAGGAGGCGCTCAAGAGCAACATGAAGCACATTGGCTCCCGGCCTGGCTTTGTCGTGGTTCATGTTGGTTGGCAAGTGCCTTTGGCATTCATCAAGGAGCGGCTTTCGTAGGGGGCGCCATACACGCCACAATGTGGAGGTGAGCGTGATTGGCCTTTCCAGCTTTTGGTTCTTGGGCAGCATTACGACCATATGCATCTGCAACTGTGTGGGTAGTTCTGCCGTCTGTTCCATAGCTTGAAAGAGCTGCACCAATGGTGTCAATGCCAGTGGTGGTACACTCCTGAGCATTTGTGCCGAGACTGCATCAGGATGTATGTATGTATGTATGTATGTATGTATGTATTTTTTACTTGTTGTTGGGTGCGAGGGCCTTTGGCCGGTTCTCTAGGCATGGTGCCTCAGCTGGAGCGTGTGCCGCCGTTCAGTTGGCCTTCTTCCTGTGGTAGTTCAGCTCTGGACTAGAAGAAGTCCACAGTCATGCCTGCTTCATCCTCTTCTGCCGTTGGCGATGGTTTCTCCGTGCTCCCAGTGTCCGACTTTACCATGGTCTGGTCACCTTGGTGGTTGGTTGACTCTTCACCATAGCTTTCATCAAGAGCCGTAGGAAAGTGGAGCCTCCTGGGCGTTGGCCTAGCTGTCATGAGTTTGCTCTGGGCTTGTGCTGTCTAGTTGTTCAGGGCGCTTGCTTGTTTCGTGCTTTTTGAAGAACTCACTGATGGGTGGAGTTCCTTTCTGTCCAGCGCCTTTGCACTGTTTGCCCAAGGCTTGCGTGGTGATGATCCTTTGTTGGCTGTCGAGGTGCCATTGGATCCCACACTGCAGACAGCTGATTTTGGCCCCTTTCTGCCATAGTGTGTGAGAGGGATGGCCTGCGCGTGGTGTCTCGAAGGCCTGGTCCACACATGGGCTTTTGATGAAAGCGCTGAAGGCCGCCTCATTGGTTCTTTTGTGGACGTTGAGGCCACACTTGAGGCATTTAAGATAGCCAGTTGTCTCTGCAAGCTGATGTTCTTGTGGTCCTGGCGGGTGGGCTTGTTGTTGGGCCAGGATGTTCCGGATGTGTTGGGCCCTGGTGACTTTCTTGGGCAGTGGTTCAGCCTGGCTGGAGGGTGCCGTACGGAGGTCCTCAATCTGTACCTGTAACCACTCTTCACGCAGGCGCTCCTCAAGTACACTGGCTGTGAGTCCTTGGTGCGTGCGGGTTCCACATGCCATGCATTGATAGCCACTTCGGTGCGGCTCCCATCGATGATGAGAGTTGGTCCATGGCTTTTTGCATTGGTGGATGGGGTCCTTCTTTTGCTGTTTGGTGTGTTTGCCTTGATGTCTTGGTGCCTTGGTATGTATATAGTGCGTCTTGTCCCCATAGATCTTGGCAAGTCGTTCAGCTGCACGCTTGTAAATGAGTGCATGCTCCTTGTCAAGTGTGGCCTGCCATTCACTGGCTCTTTTATCATGCAGCCCATTGGCCCTTTCCCAAGCCACAATGGCAGCATCACGTTGCCTTCGCCTCAATTGTGGTTCACTGCCTGGTGCTTCTGGTGAGCTTGTGTTCCTGCTCACATAAAGAACTGTGGCTCGTTGCAGATCTTGTTCTGTGAGATGCTCAAACAAGTCTGCGTATGCCTGCCTGTGGTGCTGTTGTGTCCATGCTTCCCAGACCCTGGTGAGTTGAACGATGACTCGAACCTGGGTGGTGGTGTGTTTGGCCAGTGCAGCTAGGCCAGCCAGGAGCGCACTGGTTTTGTTTTACACATCCAGATGATGTGTTTTGGAGTGGCCGGGACCTGACATACTGGACATGCCTTGGGTTTGCTGGCTTCACGGTGTTGAACTGCACCTTGTACCCATGTGGCCAGATGTTGGCGCTGTCTGGCGGGCAGCTGCTTGCTGACGGTTCTGTAGGTGTGCCAGTCAAGCCCTGTCAGCAGGTGCTGATGGTTGGGTCTGGACGCAAGTCTGCTTGTTCTTTGGTCTTTGGCTTCCATGAGCAATGCCTGTTCCAGTTTCCAGGTGTTGGCACCAAGGTATGGTGTTTCTGGTCTGGTCCATTGAAACAGTTCCTGAACTTGCCACTGCCATTCTAGGAGACAGGCCATGGCTGCGGCCATGGGTCCTTTGACGATGTACCATGGGTGGGCTTTGGCCTGTAGCTGCTGATGGGTGTGGCTCCATGCTTGCTCGAGATAGCACAAGCTGGTGGAGTGCTCTTATGTGGTGTATGATCACCTGATCAGCCGGGTCAAGATAGCGGTTGCTATGGAGGTCATAGGTGCTATCAAGTAGTCCCCCCTGCTGGTGGCCCAGTTACTTTGCAAGTGGCTGTTCTGTACCTTGGAGCCAATCCTTGTCCTTCAATTCCCCACATGGCTACTGGTTGAATGCCACCTCGATGCAGTCGCAGGCGAATTTCAAGGCTGGGATCTTCAGGTTGCGCAACTTGATTTTGCGCTGCTGGGCTTTCCTGAAACGTTGTTTCAGCACTGGAATTCGTCGTCTTCGACCTGCTTGGTGGTCTATGCCCAAGTCCCTCATCACCGTGGCAACTGGTGGTTCATCTTCATGAAGCTGTTCCTTCAGTGTATGTATGTATGTATGTATGTATTAATGTAATGTAATGTAATGTAATATAATGTATGTATGTATGTATGTATGCATGCATGCATGCATGTATGTATGTATGTATGTCTAATACACATATACATATTGCTTTGCTGCTTTGCTCATTTGGTTCAGGGCGTTGGCGTCGAGGAGGAGAGCTGCACTGGGACTGCTGTCCGCCTTGAGGCTGGGCCGGACCAAAAGCGGAGCGCAACTTACGTCAGCAAGGAGTTGCTCATGCCGGTCCTACGGGGGTCCTCTCTGGATGTACTACTCTAACATTAAACAGCAATGTACTGGAATGTATGGGTCGGGGAGGCCTTTTTGGATCGTTTGTCGCCCTTGGCAGGTGTTTGCAACCAGCTGCGTTCGGGTGGGTGACTTTGGCCAGTTGACGGCTGGGCTCCGTCAGTGTGAGCCGTTCTGGTGACGATGCCGTGACCCATGTTCAGCCTGTTTGGAATGAAGCCATTGTACAAATTCAGCCCGCAACAAAGGCAGCTGGTAGCTGTGTGGTGACTCTCTTCTCAGCTTAAGGGCTCAAAACAGTTGCGAAGATTCTTTCGGGCTCATGGCGAAAAGGTCTGCAGACACAAAGACCTCTCCAAAAGCCAAAGTTACGAAGACTGACCCGAAGGAGAGGCTTGAGCCCCTCTTCCAACTGGTTGACAAGGCTCAGCTGGGAGACACGTCAAAGTCAATGCTGGTGAGCATGGCTCCACATTGTGTGGGCAACCCAACTCATGAGTTCCAAGTAAAGTTCAAGGAGATGCTTGACGGGGTGGAGGCCTGAGTAAAGCGAGCACAAGAACTGTGCAGTCCATGTCATAGGCAGGAACCAAAGAGCTAGAATCTAGAACTAGCATAAACCTACAAGGGGCAAGGATCGTACAGAGGGCACAAAGCAAGAATGACCCAGCCAGTGTCCTATTGATGCGAGCAGACATCCTGAACTAAGGTTGTGACCAAAGTCGATATGGAGCATGTAGAAGGTGTTGAAAGGGCCCAGGCTAGCCTGACGGAGATTCAAGAACAGCTGGAAGTAGCCCAGAAAGCGGTAGCAACTGAAACCGAGGAGGTGACCGCAGCGCGTGCGGTTCGGACCCAAAAAGAAGAAGCTCTGAATGCTGCACGGAAGGAGGTGGCGTCGGCTCATGCCGCGGTTGCTACCGCCAAAAATAAAGTTGAAAGCATTGAGACCGAGCGCTCCGCCATGGTGGCGGAGAAGGCTGAGTACGAATCACTCCTCGGAGATTGGGCTGTGCTCAAGGCTGGATACATGTGCCGAAAAGGCTCTTAATGTTGAAAGTCAAATGAAGTCCATCGGTGTCCATCAGTGTTCAAGTGCCTCTGTGATATCTTTAGGCTGGAACGATCGACGGCAAGAAATGGCGTGAGCGGGCGAAACTCATTGCTTTTTCGCTGAAGATGTTGGAGCCTGTTGGGCTGGATGCCGCCCTTGAGAGCGCATTGCCAGTGGCATTCAAGACCAAACCATCGGAGCGTGGCAGCTTTGCAGAGAAGGCTGGTGGTCTGCTTGAATTGGGACAGCTTTGAAAAGTCCTCGCATCCGCGTATGGTTGCTTTTCTGTGGTGTCAATTCTTTTCGCGTGGACTCATGCAAGTATAGCTCGCTGTTTGCATTTATTCGCAGGCCATTGTTTATGCAGAGGCCAGATGTTCGCTTTGCATATATAAATCGTGTGACTTTACCCCCATTCAAAATTGTTGCTTCCGGCACTGTGCAGGACCTTTTGCACAAGACCATTGCAAAACTTGCAGAAAAGCTGAGTGGCTTTGAAGCAGAGGACCGGGAATTCCACACAGTGGCCCATTAGAATAGCCCTATGGCCTCCAAGAGCAGCAATTTTCAGATGTAGGTATGTCACGGCATGTGCACGCAAAAGATGCTACTCCTACACATCCAGTATCCCCAATGAACCTCGTTCACATGCCAACGTTCAGGCGGCCGGACGGGCGCAAGTTCTGGTTGATGCAGTCAGTGCTCAACAGGGCGCATGTCAACAAGAGGAACAACGACAGGTGAGTGTTTGGTTAATCCCCTATGTAACCTCCACATTTGTGCAACAGTTTTGGTGTGTTTGTGTATTTGCCTCCGAAATCAGGCTGAGTTCCTAGCAGCAGATGCAGCGGTGAAAGAGAAGGACGGGTGAGGAATGAAGTTGCCAGTCCTGAAACTTTGCGACATTTGAGGACACCATTCCAAAAACGAGCAACTGAATTGCTATTTTACTAACTTTACTAGCCACCTGAAATTGTTGCATGACACCTGTGCGTGTAGGAGGCCTCATTGAATCATGAAAAGAAAGCGGAGAAGACGCTGGCTCCAAAATTGAACAAAAGCAAATCCGCCCTGGCGATGGCAGAGGAGAGGCTAGTGCAGGCCATGGGCACCATGGGCTGTGCTCCTGGTGCAGCTTTGAAGCTGCATCATGTCCGGCTTCAGGTTCGCAGCCTGATTGCGGAGTTCAAGCAGCTCAATGAGGCGCTTTTCTGTGACAGACCTTGGCACAGCAATGCCATCAGAGTTTGTGTCAGCCAGGCCGCAGCTCCTCTGGAGGGTTGAGAGGACATTTCCTTTGGGCTAATGCCTGTGAGAAGGAGCAGATGAGCCTAAAATGACCGGCGTCAGTTGTTCCTGACGGCTAACCTGCTTTTCGTACAGTACTGTGGCGCGATGGCGAGTGCAACAATTTGCCTGCAATAGCAGGCTGTAGCTTAGCTGATGCTTACAGTGCAGCTTTCAGCTTTAGGGGGGCAGCACAGCACTGTGCCTGTGTTCGTGGGGGGGCCGTGAAACGGAGCGTGTGGCAGATGCAAGCAAGCTTGTGCCACGGTGATGATGTGAAAGGGCTGAAGGTGTAGCAATCGCCAACGTCTTGGCCAGGTCGAGACATATTCTCCCCACAAGTTGAGAGCACGTATGAAGCCACCGAATGTGCGATTCCTATTTCAGTTTGAGTGCTGGTCTTCAAATCATTTTGCGTCAGAAGACCTGCAGCACCAGACCCGATCAGGCACGCTCTGTGAAGTCGTGTCAGGGCAAGTCCGCCAAGACATGGCCTCAGCATGTGAGTCTCTGAGAGACAGGGCAAGCGTACTTGAATTGCGCCACAGGTCTTGCAACTGGGCCTTTTGGCATGCGAGATGCTGTGCACGCAGGAGAGCTTGCAGCGCGTAGACGGCTGCTCTCTTGTTGTGGAACCTGCTTCATTTCCATGTTTCACATCTTTTGCATTTGTTGTCTCATTTGCATTTCATTTTTCTTCTCTTGCTCACTCTCTCTCTCTCTACCTTTTTTTATGCTCGCTTCTTTTATGTTTTTATACTTTCTTTGCGCCAAATTTTCCTCAAGCCGTTGCCCCTTGGCCCTTTTCCGGGTCCCAGTCTGTTAGTGGAGCGAATTGCCGCCTTTCTTCCTTGCTTTCTTTCTCTTTCTCTCCCTCCCTCTCCCTCTCTTTCGCTTTTTGGTAGCTGGGTCACGTCGACAAGTCCTCTTCAAGGCTGCGGTTACGGAACGAACAGTTAGTTGATATATGATATGTTGATATTGTGTGCCAATGCTGAGTTATGGCAATCAGAAATCTACGCAGCGGCAATCTTTGTGGGGGTCGCAGCACGGAAGTCGTGCGAACCGCTAAGTTCATTCTATGATGTCAGGACACCGGTTGCAGAGCTTAAGGCTTAGTTTACTTGGCAATGTTCAGAGGTCCTGCGGGCAAAGTTGTCCGGAAAGGTGTCAACTGTGCTTTCTGCCCAGGGTTTCGACTTCGTGCTGCCCTGAAGCATGAGAACAAAGAGATCGACTTCTCTTTGTTATTTTGCCTGCTTTTGTTCACACTTTTGGCCTCACCACGCAGATACCTCAAGGATACCTCGCGGAGCTACTGCAGAACTTGGAGTGCGAGTCTCAGCAGTGCTTGACTGCCAGGGCTGTTTTGGGCCACTCACTTTAGGTACTTGCCCTTCCAGATCTGACCAATATGGGTGTCAGAGTCCCGGCTTCTTGAAATCTTAGGCCTTAGGCGATTATAGTTATATATATATATATAAAATACATATATATATATATAGTTTGTTGCACAAGAAGGTCTGCAAGGTGATGGAAGACAGTTGACAGGCCAGTGGACGGTCTATGATCGACCAGCATGGCAGGCACGGCATGAGCTGCGCAACATTTTCGGGTGTTATTGCACGGCCTTATAATCGGGTCTTCTTCTTTACTTTGCTGCCAAAATCTTCTGAAGACTAGAATGTTCCGGTAATGTTCCAACCTTAAGACTACGACCCTACCCCTACTATCACTAGTGACATGATCGTGCTGCTCCACGGCTCTTTAGTACAGGGCAGGTCGGCAGGTCTTGGGTTTCTCAGGCGGTTTGCTCTTCCGACCTGGTCGGCCGAAGGTTTCCGAGGTCTCCGACAAGAGCGTTTGTGTGAGCTTTCTGTCGCGATGCGTTGGGCAGATTCTCTCACTTGCGACCCTTGTTCCGTTCGAAGGAATGCCACGGAGAACGATTATTTTTTGGAGCTCTGGTTTTTGATGTCATGTGACTTCAAGCCACGTGCGAAGATACCTGGTGCGTCATCGGGAGATGCTCCGTGTGCGGCCGGTGGACTTGGTGGACTCAGTTCGGAAGAAGCTAGTGCTGGTGAATGTGTTAGTTTTCGGGTATGTAGAGCTAGGTCGTCGGACCTATCTGGTGCCGGTCCTTTGAACTTGACGTGCCATGACTGGGATGGGGCCCCCAAAGCTGTCAGTGTTGAGACTCGGATTGTTCTGCTTTGCTTCACGCCATGGCCAGTACGAGACGTCGCCACCACCTGCACCGGAGGTGGGCACTTCTGCATTGGTAGGTAGGTTCTTCCAATGTCCGCGAGCCACAGGTTTCAACATCACCGAACAATACACAGCAGCAGGCGAGCGGAGCTCAGCGGAGCTCAGCGGAGCTCAGCGGACATTTCTTTCAAAGGGACGGCACTGGTGTTGTTGGACTTGAACCCATTGAAAGTCGGTGAAATTTGTACAAATTTGTAGCATTCTCGTGGGCTAAGGACTGCTGTGAGTGCAGCGCTGGGAAACTGGCAGCTTTCTTTTCCTATCTTGTGGTGTGTTGGAAGCCTTGCATCTTGGCAGCAGTGGACATCAGTCGTTATGATGCTAGTTGGTGGGTGGGGCAAGGTTTTCACCTGCCAATGACAGATCATTCCACAGGCTGGATTACTTGTTTGGGCAAAGCATTTCCTTGCACAGTGCTGGTGGACCAAGTGCAGGCCTTTTGCTGCCTGACAGTGCTTGTACGAGTCTCACCCTTGCTGCAAAAGGGTGAACGCCGTTTTTCTACTTTGAGACTTTGAGCGTGATAGGGCACATCGCATTTCATTACCGAGTCTGTATTGCTCGGTAGCACTGTTTTTGCACTATGTCACTATGGCTTTGCAGTGTCACCGGCTCGTGGCAGTGGTAGAAGGTTGTGAAAACAATATGTGAAAGAGTGGCCACTTTGCCACTGCGCCTCCTCAATGGTCGGAGATGCTCGTCTTCATTGGGAAGTTCTGCACAAAAACCTCTCTCTCTCTCTCTCTCCCTCTTCAGTGTTTGGCAACAATAGCTCTGAGGTGGCGCAGGGATCTCGCAGCTTTCACTTCTGGAGAAGCTTGACATGCTGTTGCCTTGGAGGCTGGGCATCGCAGAACCAGTGATGCCATGCCCCACTGGTGCCACTGGGTATGATCCTTCCAGGATGTGTCGCAGAACTGGTGGTGAACATCAGGCCGCCGGTGTTGGTCGCCACCAACATGGTGAAGGCGGCCTCGGCCTCCGCCACGTGAAGCCATTTGTGAATGTTGGACCTTGGCAGGACAATACCTCAACAAGGAGCTCCAATCACGGTGAATTGGTTCCCTTTTTGCGTCAGTGAAGAGCAAGCCGTTCTGCCAGGATGGTTTTGCGGGATGGTGATACACCAGAATCTTTGGCTGCCGCGGGATGTCTTCATTTAAATGCCACTGGGGCAGGCATTGTGCTCTTGCCCGTTGGCAGTCACAACTTGGAGATGTTATACAATGTTAGACAGTATACACCTTCTTTTCATGGTCGAAACTCATGGAACTGCCTGCAGGCTGCTCAGAATCGGATGTCCACGCAATAAAGGACACCAACTGGCTTTAGCCCAACGCCTTAAACCTTGTCGTGAAAGTGTGTATGTTCAGACCAGAAGCTCTGCAGGACGGGCTTGAGGGCGAACTGATGCACTTCAAAAACCTAAGCATCGGAGGGCAGGTCATGAAGCACATAAGCTTTGGTTGGTATCTACTCCTCTCACACAGAGCTATAGCGGAAGCTCGTCTACACTTTGCAGCAGCTATTGCCAAATTTCCTGAAAGCAATTTTCTCTTGAGGGAGCTTGCAGCTGCAGCGGTGCTCGGTGATGCACTGCCTCAACCTGGAGATGATGGCCACACATTGCATAGAACTGCGGATGGTACCTGGGCCCATGTCACGCCTCCGGAGCCAGCCTTCTATGCGATCACTTGTGATGTTTGGGAGACCTATGCAGCCATTCGATTCCAGAGGCCAAAAGCCTTTCTGAGCGAGATAGAGCCAGAGCTGTTGGCAGCAGGCATGTCACCGCATGCTTTCATCCCTTCCGTGCAGATTGGTAGTGGAAGCGCCCCTTCTGGCTTGATTTTGGAACATCGGCTGGTCCATGACATTGAACTCTTGAAGCTCCTGCATGGCATGGACTTCCTAGCGCCAGGGGTTGCTTTGCAAGCGATTGAGGCCTGTAATCGCACCTTACGTTCAGCTCCACGAGCCAGAGAAGGCGTTCTACAACCCACCGTTGATCAATGGCATGGCCTTTTCCCTTTTTACAACCGACGGCTTCATGTCCATCCATGTCCACGTTTGGAGCAAGCACTGAAACCTGCTGTGGAAATGACCATGCAGCTTTTGCACAGCCCTTCTAGAAGAGCACAAACCCGCGCAGGGGGGGTCCTGAGCACTGGCGGTGTTCTTGTCATTGACGATATTTTGACACATACCGCCTTGACTGAGCTTCGGGATTTCGCAGAGCTTTCCACTGTTTGGTACCAAGAGCGTGACAACTCTCTGGGCGCAGCACTGAACACAGGATTTTCGACACCACTCTTGGCACAGATTGCAGAGGGATTGAGGGAACTTCTTGGTGATGTGCTGTGTGATCTGCCGCTTACAGACCTCAGAGCCATCAAATTCAATCAGGAACTGCCGGCTTCAATCCGCTTACAGGCAGATCAAGCTGCTGTGACGGTGAACCTTTGGATTACGCCAGGTTCTGCAGACCTAAAGGACTCCAATGGAGGCTTGACTGTGTACGATGCCTCAGTCGAAATGGACAACTCGATAAATGACAAACGGATGCTTGAGGACTTGGTTCAGCAGCTGGATGGAGAGCATGTTTCTGTGCCATACCGCCAGAACCGTGCTATTGTATTTGAGAGTTCCCGAGTCTATTCCATGCAAGAGTTCACATCTCGAGAGTCAGAGATGCGTCGGTCAAGGCGTATCAACGTATCGTTCCTTTTTGGACTCAGGGGGCTGCATTGTGCTCAACGTCGCGTAGCACGTATCGTACTGGAGGATCAAAGTGCAAAGCAGCAGTGAAATATATAAGATCCCAAGAAGTTAGCAGCTCGTGCAAGTGGAACACGCAAAGCAGCTCCCTGAAGGTCGAGAAGACAGCAGATAGAAAGGGGGTAGCAGCTAGCATTGTGAAGGGCGCAGCATTGGAATCTGCCAGAGGATTGTGGCCGCTAGCGATACACTAATCTTGGGAAGAGCTGACAGGACATTCATCTGCGGCTAGACCTTCCAGAGGTCAGAGGTCTGATCGAGCTTGTTCCTAGACCTTCCAGAATACACTGCGAACCAACTGTGTGGTCTGAAAAAAATGCTATCACATTGGCTCTTTGGCTCTGTCCTGTCCCAGTGATGTGGTGAAGCGATGTGCTTGTCAATTTGTGATGGCAAAGAATGCCGCAGCACTGGCCCAAGCCCTGTGGTCGCGAAGCGCCCTGGGCCAAACTGCCAGGTGCTGACTGCCTATGAGCAGCGGGGAGCCTTAGAAGTTCTGAGCACCCGACAGGGCAGCAAGGGACGATAGGGCACACCACAGAGCACACGACATGGCACTTGCGGTCGTGTTTTTTCTTTTGTTCCTAGTAGCGTCCTTGCTCCAAGTAGCGATGCCAGGAGCCCCTAGTAGCGTCCTTGCTCCTGCCAGGAGCCCCTAGTAGCGTCCTTGCTCCTAGTAGTAAGGTCAGGAGCCCCTAGTAGCGTCCTTGATCCTAGTAGTAAGGCCAGGAGCCACTAGTAGCGTCCTTGCTCCTAGTTCTTAGTTCCGGTGTTCTTAGCAGACCTTCTAGATCCTAAAACTGGGACCAGATCGATACTTCCTTGCAGCGAAGCGGTGCGAAGCGGTGTGAAGTTCGATTTGAGGCGATTGTGCCGGTGGCCTACACCGCTCGTGAACTGTGGACTAAATCAGATGCGTCGACTCGTTATCGCTGGATCAGACGTTCCCTCAACTTTCCTAACGGACCGGAGAAAGGTTGCGAACCCCGTGTTTTGTTTCCTTTAGAATCTTAAGCCTCACTGACCCGTCCAAGTTGAACAGTCCCAGCCGAAAACACCTCCTTAATTTTTTTCGCTCGTGACTCTTGCCATGGGCTGCTTTGCAAGCAAAAAGCCGCCTCCTGAAGAAGGTCAGAAGGAGACCCAAAAGGAGACCTGCGGGATCCATCATGGGCTTCATGTGTTCGAACCGCATTCCAACGTCGGGGAGCTGAAATCGAGCCGCAGGAGCCGCAGGAGGATGATGAGGAAACAAAGGAACTCATCCAAGCAATCACCCAACGCATTGCAGCTAGTTTGCAATGATGCAGGGTCGTGTGATGTTCTGGATGTTGTTTTTCTTTTTTCTCAGGTCCGGTCGCAGGTTGTTTCAGTTCCAGAAAATGCAACGACTAAGGTAGAGATTCGGACAAAGGCAGAGGACCGACCCATCCCCATCCCCGGCGATTGCCCTGCAATTCACCTTCGGTGCAGGACTACAATGCGCAGCTTCAGCTGCAAGTCGCCGACATCGAGAACTCAAAGCAGCTCGGATCGTGCTGTGAATGTTGTCGCATGTTAATGTTGTTGCTATGCCATAGCTGTGATAGCAACTGTTGTTGATTCTAGCAGTTGCCGGGTGTCAAATGTTGGCCTTTGAGGATTGGCCTACTGGAAGAGCAGCCAGTTAGAGTGAATGGCATCGTAACAGCTCCTGGGCTGCACATAGATGCACCGCTTCCAAGCTGACAAGAAGCTAAACTGCACATGAGAGAAGAAGTCCAAGGTTGGGTATGAACCTGAATCCACGTCCGACGACGTTCCCCTCTTTGAAGCATGGAGCTCAAGAGTCCTGGACACCTGTGTGCATGGTCAAATTTGCAACCCGCACTCGTTTGACCTTGAAACAGACCAACACATGGATTTTGTCAAACTTATTGTTTCATCTTGCAGGATACAGGCTCAAGTTTGCGGATCACGGCAAACCGGAGGAAAGTGCGCCATGAAAGTGAAGGCCTATGAGCTGCGGAACAAGACCTCCAAGGAGCTCCTCAAGGAGCTGGATGAAATGAAGAGCGAGTTGGCGCAGCTCCGCGTGGCCAAGGTCTCGGGGGGAGCTGCCTCCAAGCTGGCCAAGATCAAGACGGTGCGCAAGGCCATCGCACGGATCCTCACGGTGTACAACCAGAAGCAGAAGGCCGAAGCCCGTAAGCAGTACAAGGGCAAGAAATATATGCCCTTGGACCTGCGCCCCAAGAAGACCCGAAAGATTCGTCAAGCCTTGAAGGCCGAGCAGAAGTATGCAAAGACGGCGCGAACGAAGACCAGGGAGAGCAATTTCCCCATGCGGCGCTTTGCGGTCTCAATGTAGTGTTGGAGTGAAGGGAAGCCGCAAACAGACTCGCTTGCATTCGAGCCAGAAAAGAAAGAGCGTTGACTTTACAGTTTTTACTCCAAGTTGCGCGTTTTTCATCAACTGCCCCGTGCTGTCGGACATGTTGACTTGATGCCAACCCAAGGCAAAAGCAGGCCAGGAGATAGCCCCCCGGCTGCACGGAAGACACTTTTGTTATGTGGCTTCCTGCTCATGTGGCTTGTGGCAGACACTCTCTCCAGGAAATCCTGATCCGTGAGATGGGAGGCCTGCTTAGGAGAGATATCATTTTGGGATACGTTTTGCACATGTGTGTTGGTTGGAATCCGATCGAAACAGGATGCAGATGTCGCTATTTATCATTGTGAAGTTTGTGAGTTACGTCATGTTTTGTTTGCACGTATATACGTCGGCAGACCACTGCTGCCACACACGAACCAAGTCACCTAGGCTGGTCCTACTGCCGGCGTATTGGTGACAAGACGCCTGGATGGTTGCCAGCCGATCGCATTGCTGAGCTTGCTCGGCTTGTTGCAGGCCGGGTCAAGTGTTTGTTTTTTAGATTTGTTGATAGCTGGTGAAACAGGTGCACATGAGCCGCCATCAGCCTGTGTCCTCTGTTTGTGAATGTGAGAGAGTAATATCGCGATTCCTGGCAGATCACGAAGTGGGAGAGTCTGAAGGCAGGGATAGCAGAGAGGGAGCTTCAATGTGCTGGAGAGTTGATATATACTTCTCTTGACCCTTTTGTGCATGTAATAGATAGACTGCAAGGCTTGCTGAATCTCAAGAGTGGGGACATGGTCGAGGTGCGTCCGTGCTGCAGGATCTAGTGCAGCGGTGATGAGAGGTACTTGGATGTACGTGAGAGGCTGGCTGCGGCCCATTGGCTCAAGCGAGTCAATCTGGTTAGTTTGTATCGAAGTCAGGACTTTGAGTTGGCCACGCATGCACTAAGAAAGGCCACTGAACCCAAAGACTCCCACAGCTCGAGTGTAGATTTTCTGAAGGCGGCCATTTGGACCACCTTCAGGTGACATTTGTCCTTTGGAACCGTTGCGCTGGAACAGTGTGTGGAACCGTTGCCATGCACTGGAAAGCCGTCGGCAATGGCAACCTCGGTGAAAGTCATCAGCTCCAGCTCCAGTTCCTCTTCAAGTTCCAGCTCTGGAAGTGGTTCCTTCCCAGAAGCTTAGTGTTTCAGCTTAGTGTGAGACTGGTGGGGCATGAGTCTGTGTATGGTTTGTGTTAATCAAGATTGCATTTATTAACTTAGTAAGAGCCGCGTCCAAGCCAATACTCTGGAGTTGCCTCACATGGGTTCAGCTTAGTATACATATACCTGGACAAGGACCAATCCGATAAATCCAATTATCACTTGAACATCCTGAAGACCTTCTCCACCCCCGTGATTGTATGACTGAGCATGAAGTTTGCATGCTGCGAAGTATGCTGCCTCACCCTTTTGAAGTGTACTGGCCGACATTCTTACCAGCTCACATCGTCCATAACTCACTGTTTGCGTAATCCGCAATGCAGAAGGCTGAAGCCATAGCATGAGGCACATGATGCAACATACACCCCAAGCTGCAATTCTAGGTTCCGACAAGAAAGCTTCGATGGAGGCGGGCTGCATAAATTAGAGACAGAACAAGCACATGGACGCTACTAGGAGCAAAGGGCATCGCTACTAGGAACAAGGACGCTACTAGGGGCTCCTGGCCTTACTACTAGGAGCAAGAAGCTACTAGGAGCTGATATTGGAGCTCACTGCACGTGGCAGGCAAGGATTGCCGAGAAGATGGCACAAAGAGCCACTGGACTTGAAGTGGCAGCACGAGAATGACTTATTCATTTGCATTGTCATCAGGACAGTGCAGAGAACGCTTGGATGGGCTGGATTTGCCCCTGCGGGGGCAAGAACTTGACTATGAAAGCTCGGTGCATTGTGTGTGGCCAAGTGAAGCCACTGAGTGCTCACCAGAGGCTGTGATGGATGAAAACACTTGCTGCACCCTATTCGATTATATATTCAATCCTGTTCTGTTCTGTGTTTTCCAAGAGACTTTGGCCTTTCCGCCAGGGGTGTGGGTCAAGCCGCTGCAGCCATTGAAAGGGCGCGGCGAACACCAAGCCCCAGACGGAGCCCTTCTCGAAGACGAGCTCCAAGTAGACGGAGTCGAAGTCGAAGCCGTGTCCCAGCCGGGTAAGTGTTTCACATGTCCCAGATCAGCAGTGCCACAATTCACAATATGACACACACATTCCTTGTGTCATTTTGTTTCAACAGCAGCTTTCCTTTGCAAAATGTATACTGGTTAGTGGCTTGGCTGCTAAGGCAGCTCTTCCGGTCGAAGTTCATCGGGCAGCGTCATTGAGAAGCATCTCGGCTTGGTGTTTCAGTGGAACAGATGCCAAAAAGTGAATGCAGACGGCGCAAAAACGCCAGTCGGGCGTGGCCCAACGTGACCTGAGCGGAGGCCAGATGATGTTACCGAAGCCAAGCAACTTGCGATGCAGCACCTTGGCCAAATCTAGTCCTACATTCATGCTCAGTTCGTGTACCAATTGCACTCCTCGACTGACTTGACGAGCATGGAAGTGGATGGCATGGCTCCTGGGAAGATGATATCCTTTATCGATGGGGGTTGTCCACTTCCATGTCAATGAGTCGAAG